ACAGCTAAAATAATTGGTTCTACATAGTGTCATCTTCAAAACTCACATAACAACCAGCATCTGTCATACTGAGCATAATATATGCATCATTCCGTTAGAATTGTTTTTTGCTAGAGGCATTGCATTGTGAAACATTAATAAAACTATAAATAATAAAGACAGTGCAGTTTCTAAGGGAGGACTTTATGTTTGAAAAGTTTAACGGAGGTTTTGAGAAGGAAAATCTTACTTCCTTGTACCTCCAATGAGGGCATCATTGCCACTGTTGGCTTTTTTGCTTCTAGAAGGCAAAGTGAAAACAGTAAGACAAAGTCAGGCATAGGGACGGGCAGCTTGTGTACTTAACATAGCCATCCTACACATTCCTCTGAGGAGTGTTCAAATGTGTGTTCAGGACAATCCTGAGCCATTTCACTCAAAAGACAAAAACAAATAAATAAATTAAACCTGCAGTGATGATCAGATTTTATTATTCAGCTCTAGTGAAGTGAAGTTGAAACAAAATAAACAAAAAACATTCAATAGGGACCTAAAAAAAATGATTCCAGGTTTGAAAATGCATAGGTTTTTAAGGTATTAAACTACTCTGACTTACTCTGACCTACACTGATTTAGTTGCTTATTTTAGACAAAAACCTCCATGTTTTGCTCCCATTTTCTCATATTTATTGGAGGTTATAAGTTGTTTACACCAAGAACAAGAAGGTCTATGTTCAAATTCTGACTTGGGGTCTCTCTGTCCTTTCCGCATGTGCATAGTTTATTTCACAGTACTTCAGTCTTCTCAAGCAGTCCAAAAGTATGCATTGTCAGGTCAACTGGTGGAGTGTGCAAGTGTGTACTTGGTCTCCTGTGAAGTACTTGCAACCTGTCCAAGATTTACCCCACCTCTCTCCTAACTAACCCATTGCAATGATAATTAAAGAACTAATGGGTGGTCTTTCACAATTCAGTGTACTTGGATACCTTCATATGTTTAGTTTTTTCCTTGTTTTTTATTCACTTTCATAGTTATCTATTGTTTTGTACATTGAAAACGTATCCATTGTTGTAGTACCTTCTTAATAAGTACTGAACAGTGCAACCTGGCTTGTGGTCACCTTCAAGTCTGGACATTAATTAATTCTAGCAGGCTGAATGAATGCTTTGTAAACAAGCTGAAAACCTACAATTTTTTGCAATAGATACCAATGCGACACTATAGTGTTTTAAAGCAGCATGTGATAGAATAGAATAGAATAGAATAGAATAGAATAGAATAGAATAGAATAGTCGGACCTTTGGAGGCATCAGCCTCTGCTTTGCTGTACTCCTCCAGTTTAAGGTAGCAGGCAGATCTGTTGCGGTATAGTACAGCGCTGTCTGCCTGGCTGTCAGTCAGCTTCAGCGCTTTGGTGTAGCAGCAGAGAGCTCCCTGCATGTCTCCCGCCTTGAAAAGGGTGTTCCCCTCCTCCTTAAGGGCTGCGGGGTCCTGGATTCAACAGCAAAGGTGAGCAACGGACTCCCAGAAAGCTATCCAAAATATGCTGAATGAAATAAAAATCGGCCGAACGGCTCACTGCAGCTTCCTTACCTTCTGCCTTTCACTTTCACTCATCTTTGACTAATTATACACAGCACGATGTGACTTTATATGTTGAATTTGTATTCAAATATCGCTCATATTATCACGTACGGTGCAAACTCCTAACATCTCCCAGCGCTTCCTGGAGTACGTAGCACGTTCGTGACGTTTACGCACAAACCACGCCCCTCCCCTCCTACGCCGCTTTACCATAAAAGGAAGAAGGCAGCCAAATCATTCCTGTCTCCTGCTCTACTTTATTTGGTTATGGTAACTTTGTGGTTTTCTTTGGTGCACACATACAAAGATAGCTACATCAAGCCACATTTGTGTTTTAACCTAACTGAAACAACAATGCATAGCAAGGTATAAGTACAGATTCTAGCATCTTAGGTGTCATAACAAAGAAATACTTGGTTAGTTAAATGCTTTACAGTATAATAACAGCCCTGTCAATCAAATAGTATTTCTAAAGACACAAGCATTTCTTTGTGACAAGGGAAGAGCATATAATTATCAAATCAGAATAAGATAAATTATGTTTGTTTCGGAAAGAAAAAAAAAGCAATCTAACGTATTTTATCGATTCATTACGCACTTCTGATTTGACAGTTGTCCAGCAGAGAGTACATTGGCACTCTTCACAAGGAAGGTAAGCCACAATAGGCCATTGCTGGAAAAGCTCGCTGTTCCCAAAGTGCAACTGGAAAGTTGACTGGAAGGAAAAACTACAGCAGAAAAGAATTGCACAAGTAACAGGGAAAACCACAGGCTTGAGATGAGTTGAAGGAAGGTCCATTCAGGGATTGAAGCATTTTTGTACCTGGCTTGTTTCTGGAGTTAGTACTTCAAGAGTCACAACACACAGATGTGCCCAGGTTTTCAGATAAAGGAAACTTTGCATTTGTTTTGGACCTCAAGGGTCTAGGATCTTGGAGGACAGCAAAGAGGCATTGGAATCCTAGATGCTTGATCCTGTGTTGAGTTTTTTCAGTCAGTTATGATTTAGGGAGCCATGTTATTGACTGTTGCTTGACAAGTGGCTTGAAGTGATCTTAGGGCATTATATACCTTATGGGCTCATCTATTTGGAGCCCAGAAGCTATATAATGCCCCATTATATACCTCCATCTGTGCATTGGCCCGGATGAACAGGCCAATGCACAGATGGATAGACAGATTTGGTGACAAGCTATGGAGATGCTAATTTTATTATCCAGCAGGACTTGGCAACTGCCCATAAAGCCACAATTTATGGCTTTATGGGCATACAGTCTTACAGCATTGACCAGGGTATCATATCACGTGTTGGGTGTGGTCAAGAGGAAAATAAGAGACAACAGACCTAACAATACAGATACGCTGAAGGCCACTGTTACAGGAACCTGGGTTTTCTTACAAATTCAGCAATTATGCAGGCTGATCGCTACATTGATGTAGAACTTAATGCAAAGCAATTACTAACTACTGAGTGCACATACTGTATAATATATGAACATACTTTTTAACAGGTTGACATTTCTGCAAAAAAATTTTTTTATTGGTCTTAATGTTCTAATCATATCTCTGGTTTTCATCGCCATCGTCATCAAAAATGTATTTGTCACACTCATGATAGTAACTGTATATTACCCCTTATGATGGTAAAAAAGCTTCCCATGATAACATAACAGTGTGGTTATTGCTAAAAAAAAAAAAATAATAGTCTCTCTGCTCCTGTAGGGACATAAATGCATCACAGAATGTATTAAACATATCAACAGATCTTATTTACCTTTATAACACTATTGGGTGATATAAAAGTGCTTTATATCACATATAATAGTTTGAGCTCTGCAAGGCTACCAGGAAGGCTCCTGTTTGGTATTTCTCATAGTCCCCCAGGACCTCTCAGTCAGAGACTATGTTGTTTGTCCTCTGTTGTCTTGGAGACCAGGTGGTTCCCTGCAGGCGTTATGCTCAGTTACACCTGTTTAGATTCTAACATTACCGTGGCACCTTTGTTGACTGGGCAGCCTAGACAGTCAGTTCATGTTTCCTAGGCTGAACTGTAAGAGGTTGATCATAGCAGATCTGCAGGAGCTCTCTGCTCCTTAGTGATGGCACCAGGGATTCAAGAATTTTCATATTTCTTTTTAAACTCAAACTAAAGCAGCTGGGTAAACATTTGTTTCTTATCAACAAAGTGTTTTGCAAGAGATTATGCTGTCACCACTGGTGTGTTCTCTGGGGCCAAACATAATAACACTGTGATACAGCTTCAACACTACACTTTGAATGTTTTTGCACGTCATATTAAAAATAATCAGTCTCTTGTGACTGGACTAAAAGCAAAAAAAAAAAAAAAAAATTTGCTCATGCTTCCGATTCAATCTTCCGATTAATTATTGAAGTGTAAGGTCATCTCCTGTTTCTAGAAATTAACCAACAGTCATTAAAACACAACAGTCACATGCTAAGGACTATTATATTACCCCTTCAGGGTGTTACGGGTGTTGTTTACCTGCACAGTGGTTCAGAGGACGAGTCAGACACATGATAAGATTTTCAACATAAAGCTTACAGATACATCTACAGTAGCAATTACAAGAACATTCACCTTTTTATTTCACTTTTTAAACTTTATAACACCAGTAAAGGCTGAGCCTTGTATTAGATTGATTATGAGGCTCCATTATGTCACAGTATGTTTGCATGATAATTTTATATACAAATCATTTCATTTATTTTATTTTCCACTGTAATTACCCAGGGTTCAACACAACTACAACAAAAACAAGAACTGCATATTTTATTATAGATAATGTAGGTTAGCTATTTAAGTGGTGCACTGGTGTCTGGAGAAAGCGTCATCTTCTCTTTTAACCAACTAATCTAGCACAGGACAAACAAAGCTGTAAACAGTCTGTATACCTACTTGAACCAACTTGCTGGTATTTGTACACTGTTACATATTTTTCTGCTGCATATCTATAACGTCTACCAGTGGCTATTCATACTGGAGTTGCAAACTGCAATTTGGGTGTTAATAAAAACAATGACTGAAGTGGATCTCAAAAGATTGCAAGTTCTATGAGTTTAATCTTTAAGTAAACCCCACTAATCACTTTTTTTTTGCAACTAAACAAGACAATTAAACTAATAAATAGAATGAAAAAGAACTCGACTGGTAACAGGAAGGAGATGTTAAAAATTTCTGACTTTATTATTATTATTTGGTGGCCCTGTTCGATAAGCTAGTATTATAAGTAATTTGGCATTTGTACTGTGCTGCTTGTGAGCATATTCGACTGTCAATCCTACAATGTAGTTACACAATAATTTATAAACTCCATTCGATTATTCTGAATTTACTGCAGGCTCTGAAATAATAAATTTCAACATTAGGACAGACGAGCACAGCAAGCAGCTGAGGCTATTGGTCAATCAGCGACGCAGCTCATTTCTTCCCAGAAGCCTTTGTAGCAGCTCGGCGGTGCTAACTGCTAAGCTCAAAATGCTACTTCACTAATCCGTCTGCCTGCAGCGGAAATCAGAAACCCCACCACTGCTGGGCTTCTTCACTCTGCTGGAGTACCGCCGTGTTATCGTTAACGGGTAAGCCTGGGTTTCTTATTATTTTTTATCTGCAATGAACCACGATCATACGGAAATGTTAGTTGAGGAGGTTTACATGGAAAGTGAGTTGTTAGCCAGAAAAATACCAGCAGCTTCGGTTCGTCTAATGTTAGCAAATTTTCTACTTGATGTCGTTTGTTACTTTCGAGACGTTTGTTGGAGAGAAAACAGAGGCAATTGTTTATCAAAATGTAAATGTCATTTTGAAACTTTAAGCTACCCGTGTTGGACTCATGAATTGAATTTATTAGACAGTGTAAATGCTGTTCTGGTATGTACAGGAAGCTAGCGCTAGCTTGTTTGGCTGTCACATCTATCGTTTATAGAAGTGACTTTAAGTTTGACAGAGGCTGTTCCTTTCACCTACGCCTCCTGGGCAACTGATTTGGCACGGATATTGTCCAAATAAACGCGATTACTGTAGTTGGCTCAAGTTTGAAGCAACTAAGCTTGTCCCAAATGTTAGCTGAGAGATGGCAAAGTAAGATTAATTCTAATAAGACATTTACAGAGGTGTCACCTCTGGGTCAGTAGTTCCGAAGAATACCATTCAGGCGAACAGATGCTAGCTAAACAATATGCGTTATTCTTTGATAACAGTGAACTCCTCTTAGTATTAGGTCGACATTTTTATTTTGCTGCTTGAATACAGGCTGCAGCTCTTTGTTGCCTCTGTTTACAAATGTGCATCAAGACGGTTCCTTTTGGATCCTTTTAGCTCCAGATGGTCTAAGAAAATATCATCTTCTTGTGGAACGAACGGCCATTTTTGCAGCCAGCCTTAACTAATGGCTGTGCCAAGTTATTATCTCAGTTCCCTGTGGTAATGCTAATATGTTTCCAGCCTATGACTTTGGAAGATTATGATCATGGCTTTGCACAAGAAGAAAATATTAAAAACCTAATAGAAGCAATAGAATATACTCTGTTTTGATGGGTTCTCTGATAAATGGGGCATGAAATTAGGAAAACAGGACATTGCAATTTTGTTGAGTATTGTGTGGCAGTACAAATTGTTTAACCCATATTTTTCTCACTTCTTGCTTGCTTGTTCATTGTCAAGATGTCACCACTATTCTTCCAGAGCTTAATAATCTTGGTCACTAAAATCTATGAACATAAAGGCAGTGAAAGTTCACCCACGTGACCAAATATATTTCTGGCAAGCAGACTTTTAATGCTTGGCACTGTTCATTTAAAAGCCTATTAAACATAGCATCCCAGCAGTGTGCTGCTATGGTAATGTCGCACTTGTTGGAATGGAAATGTGAGGCAACATGTTGCGCAGATCTATTTACATATTTCTCTCAGAATTTGGAGTTTTTCAACTTTTTGTGATCTTGAAATAGGATGCAGAAAAACCCCTAAACACTAATGTTGTATAGATTAGTGGCACACAGAGTGATATGAATTTAAAACATTAATTTCTTTCACTTTGATGAATATGGCTTCCCCCAAATTATTAATGACTGTGAAAACCTCACACTGGACCTGAAACAACCTAATCTATGTCCCTCTGGTGTGTCTGGCTCACAAGCCATTGAGAGCTTAAATGACCAAAGTCTTAAAAGAACTTTGTTTTACAATCCTGTTGCTGAAACACCTTTTCTTTATTTTTCAAACACATATTTTTCTTTCACTCAACTTGCCGTCAGTATGGTTGGCTACAGCATTGTGTAAATCACCAACTTTTTTTAGCAAAGCCTTTTTTGCGGTTTGCCCTTATTTTTAAATGTTTGGAGTGTTTGCTTCTTCATGGTTGTGAAAGCCAGAACAGAAGTTTTTGTCATGTTAAAATTTAAAAGAACTGTAGGTTTTATAAGCTGAATTTCACAATTACAGAAATTACCAAAAAAACATACTTGAGAAAAAAAAAAAAAAAAAAAAACTTGTGTTTTTTAATATTGGATGTGACTTTTACATTTTAAGAAAATTGTTAAAATTTAATTAATATTAAAATTTTATGAAAATGCACTTATACCTTTTTGCATTTTTTTCCCCCTCTCTCTACAGCTGAAGAGGACCTTCAAATGTGAGATTGCCTCTGCACTTGTTATCCAAGGACAGACACTGATCGTGCTGCCAGAGTTAATGTTTATCCACAATGCCACAGAGAGAAGGATAGCGGTTGTATCATTTCAATTTCTGGAACTGCTTTGGAGTGAACCTTGAGTTTAAAAAAGGGGGGAAAAAAAGCTGCCGTGACTTTTAACCAAGCTTTTTTCCCCTTTTCCATTTGCACTACTGCTCTGTGTGCAAACCGTAGCGGCAGCCGAAGCGAAAGGGCGTTGACTCTGGTTGTGCAGGAGGATTAAAGTTTTCGGTGGGAGTGGGGACTGGACCAAGAGAGCAGGTGTACAGCAACAACAGTCATGCTACGGGAACACTAGTCTCACTATTTGTGCCCCTACTGTGTTGTGTTTTTCTTTTTTCTTTCCTCCTTTTCCTGCAATCTCATCAGTTTGGATGGTTGAGCACAAGGGCCACTTTGAAGGAGACCACCGGTGACTGTGGTTCTGGCCAGAGCTGACAGACTTTTTGCCAGCAATTGCTGCTTCAGGAGCTTCTCCACAGCCTCTACTGCAGTAGCCTCCTGTCACTGTGATATCCGGTGTACTGAGTGGAGGTTGCAGGCATCACAGCTTCTACGCTGGCGTAGATTCTTAGTTTCCATCATTACTTTTTCCAGTTCTCTTGGACCTTTTTGCCTTTTCTGTTGAAAACATCAGATCTATTCAAGGTCATTTTTTTTTTTTATACATCTGAGTCTTGAGGAAGCAAAGGACCGCTCCACAGGAGGATGAAGCTGAGGAAACAGGTGACGGTGTGCGGAGGGGCCATATTCTGTGTGGCCGTGTTCTCCCTTTATTTGATGTTGGACCGAGTCCAGCATGACCCTGCAAGGCGACAGAATGGAGGAAACTTTCCACGGGTAAGAATTCCTGCTGTAGCCTGGCAGCCTATTTACTTTGTAAACCTAATGAGAGCATTTATTTTATTTTTTTTGTTTTAGTGTGCCAAGCCTAAATTAAACGTTTCAACATCTTTTAGGAATGATGTCTAATTATTCAGATTCATTTGACTTGTGCTGTAGAAACAAGGCTTAAATGGGTTGTAAATTATTTTTTATACAGACTCATTAACTTTAAACATACTGCAATAATACATTACATTTACTTAATTTCCACTGTCAGCCTATGGGTACTGTTAGATTAGGAGTGCACAGCTCTCTGGTTTATGATTATTTTCTCTTTTAGAGCCAAATCTCTGTCCTCCAGAATCGGATAGAGCAGCTGGAGCAGCTCCTGGAGGAAAACCACCAAATAATCAGCCACATAAAGGACTCTGTGATGGAGCTCACAGACACAGGAGCTGTGTCTCCCAGCGGCCACCTGCCGTTCAGAAGCGCCAATGGGTCCTGGGTGCTACCGTTTGATGGTCGCCCGACTTTCCTTGTTGTGAAGCCTCAGGACTGCCAGTTTGCTGTTGGGACCCGTGCTCAAACAGATGTACAGGTAAATATTCCCCTCTTTAAAATAAGACGCCAAAAACTAAATTTTGCAATCACTTGTGCGACGAGTGAATTTCATCATCATGTCCTTAGGAGCCTCTTTACCCCTCATTGCAGAGAGGAGTTTCTAAATTTTCCATGGATGCAATTCGCATCGCTCTCTTGATGAGAGAGATTAATGTATTCATTAAAGGGTATACATTAAATACCCTTTTAATGTATTTTCCTTGCAAATGATGTACAATTTAGACTTTATTGTCAAACAAAAAAAGGAACTCGATCAGAAGCAAATTTCCTTACTTTTTGTGCTGTGGATAAATAAGATGCAGCGGATCAGCGCAATGGGTGTTCAACCAACATGGAATAGATATGTTGATGCCTAGTTGTGCATGCAGATTACAGCAATTCTTTGCAATTGCCATATTGCAAATATTATTACTGCAATAACTTTTGAAGTTTAGTCTATTTACGAGCTCCAACATAAGAATCAGCCGTGCACAGTTGATTTGAAGTAGGTCTTTAGTATGTGTTTTATGAGGTGAACCAGCTAGGGACATGGGAAATGCACATCTGGCGGTGTTCTGAAGTTTTCCCACAGAAAACGCAACATATTACAACCATCTTTCTACAGAGCTAATTAAATCCACCCAATTTGTTGACAGGGGAGTTTGAGTCAGAGATTTTTCCCTGCATTTGCCATGTCAGGCAAGTTTTTCCTGAAGCACATGGGTCCAATGAGGGGCCACTGCTGTTGTCAACAAGCTCCATTTAAATATGAATGAATTTTTATAATTGACAGTGCCTGCTTATCATTTTCTCTACTATCACCAAATAAACTCAATTTATTTTGACCGTTGTCAAATGTTTTGCTTTAGATGCTGGATGTGTACTCCCTCCTCAAGTTTGACAACCCTGACGGCGGTGTGTGGAAGCAGGGCTTTGACATCACTTATGAACCTGATGAGTGGGACAATGAACCTCTGCAGGTGTTTGTGGTTCCTCATTCTCACAACGATCCAGGTGAGTTGTGCTTTTGAATGTCAAATATTTATTGGAGACTGTTTTTGTAAGTAGAACTCGTCAACAGTGCGCAGAATGGTCTAATTCTCACAGTATAAGGCCGAAGGGAAAAATGCTGTAATATAGAAAGATGTAAAACTATGTTGTATAACTAGTATTGATTACAAGACATAGTTGGGATGTCTGCTCAGGTTACTAGCCTGCAGTCGGTTACTTTACAGACATGGCACTCATTGCTTGCCATTTCCAATTCAGATTGAGTCCCACCTCATTTTGTTTTCGTATTGATTTACTTGTAAATGGAAATATTTTCAATCAGACAAATCTTCAGCCTTCTTTCAGGAAGCTGACCAGCAGTGTGCAGCATTAGGAGGGGAGGGGAAGTTCTGATTTACGCTAAGCTCCAAACAGCTTGGGGGGGAAAAAAAAAAAAAAAAAGTCAGACGCCTTTTCTGATATTTTATTAAAAGGACTTTTAACTGTAGGGAAGATATTGATTATAGCGGTCCTCTTTGCAGGTTTTCTAGACCTAGTATCACGGCAAAGGAGAGACTAAATCTCGGGTCAAGTTTGTAGAGAGAAAGTCAAATCAATTACTTTTAACCTTGCCTGGATAGGCCAGTAGAATTAGGGATTCATGAATAAATTTGATGCATCCGTCATTATTATTGTCGTCATAATGCTGACATGACTGACTGTTTGGCCCCAAACAATGAAATTAGGATGATATTGGTATTGAAAAACTGTAGCTTGTTAGAGCCGTGATTGGCTGAGATTGTACTTAAGACTGACATTTCCATTATACTTGCTTACTCATCCGTGATATCTGCTCGCTAACTTGACAGTTATTGATGTGTTGACAGGCTGCAGAGACTTGAAAATTGTCCATTTAGAGTAGGAACAATATTTCTTTATAAATGTAAAGTTTTCTTAACTACTATATGAAGCATTATCTCTACAGAATTTGTGGTACAAATGTTTCCTGCATATTTTATATATAAAACTTGAACTGGGCATTTAAAGCGCAAAAAAATAGCTTTTCGTATGACGCGAGGAGGCTTTCCAAGTGGACCAGCTGCCTTTGAATAAATTGAGTTTTATTTTTGGTGCTCTGCATTCACTTTTACGTCCGGGTTGTTTGTCCACCTGTCCTTTGTTTTTGTTTCAATTGGCTTGATAATCATGGCAGAAGGGTTGCTTCAGAGAGATGGATCAGTCTGCGATGAGCCATCTGCGTGTCTCTCGGTCCTCCTGTGTTGCTAGGTTGGGTCAAGACCTTTGACAAGTACTTCACAGACCAGACGCAGCATATTTTAAACAATATGGTCGTGAAGCTGGCCGAGGATTCTCGGAGGAAGTTCATCTGGTCAGAGATTTCATTCTTCGCCACGTGGTGGGAGACTGCAGACGTCTACAAACAGGAAGCCATGCGCAAGTGAGTCACAGCTTTGCGAGTTTTGCCAATTATCTTCAGAATTAGTCGATGCAGACACTCGAAGCCCTCAGCACAGTTCCCTACACAGAGGGTGGTATCTGCTGGCAGATTATGTCAGCTCTATTTATAGCTTTTTATGTGGTTAGTGGGACTCTCTCACATTAGGGCTGGATTATTCTCACCTCGCTCTCCTAATCCTTTCTTTTTAACAGACTGATCCTTGGAGGGCAGCTAGAGATTGTGACAGGAGGCTGGGTGATGACGGATGAAGCCAACGCTCACTACTTTGCTATGATAGATCAACTCATTGAAGGGCATCAGTGGTTGGAGAGAAATCTGGGTAACGCATTTCAGCACTTTCATTTATATTTCCAAGATTGATGCTGAAATCTTTAAGATGCTCCACTCTGAGAAGTTTTAGTAGCTCTGCCTTCACATGACTATAAAATATATCACCCCTCGCTGTGCTTGATAGTGAAATTTAGGCCCCGACATCCCACATTTCAGCTGATGTAGCGTCTTGCTCAGCGGGTGATGAAATGATTTCCACCACTAGCTGTGGAGTGTGATTTCTTTAAAAAAAAAAAAAAAATGAATTCCCTTCCTTATCCAAAGCATGGAACTAAAATATTTGCTTGCTGCTATAGGTATTACTCCTCAAAGTGGGTGGGCGGTGGACCCCTTCGGTCACAGTGCCACCATGCCCTATCTGCTGAAGAGGGCTAACGTGACCAGCATGTTGATCCAAAGGATCCACTACTCCATTAAAAAACACTTTTCTTCAACCAGAAGTCTGGAGTTTATGTGGAGACAAGCCTGGGGTGAGTGGACCAGTGCCAAAGACATCTTTAGATTTTTAGTGCTCCTCTTCAAACTCGTTTAAGAATGAGCCGAAACACTTGTAATATATTAAATGGTGGCTTTTTTTTTTTTTTTTTTTAAGTGTATGCTGTAAAGACCTAAACAGAGCTGTTTTTTTGTTGTTGTTTTTTTTCTTTTCTTCCCTCATTTGTGCCGATGATCGAGTGCTCATTTGTTCCTACTGGAAATGCCATCAGTAGAAGATGTTGTAAATGTGTTGTTGCCTGTACTTATGGGGCTTCATTTAGCCATTTAATGTTCATCCCCAGACAACACTTACGAACACTAAGCTCATAAATTTGTATGCAGCAATGCTGGAGGGAAAACTTGCTTTCCGTGTCAACCATGTTGTTTTTGGAACGCTGTTAATAGTGGAAGTAATGTGTTTCGCTGAAGTGTTCATACCAATTAAAGTTTTCCACATTTTCTCACATTACAGCCTGAAACTTGAATGTATTGCATAGAGATTTTATGTGGTACATAAACACAAAGTTGTGGAAGGAAAAAGATGCATATTTTTTTAACAATTGCAGTAGTCGCCCTGTCAATACTTTCTTCTTACCTTAGCTGTGGATCACTTCCTAAAACATTTTTTTTTTTTTTTTTTTTTTTAAACTTTGCATCATTTTTCTTCCACTTGAGTTTTGCACGAACTTGTTATTGCATCACGTGAAATAAGTGCTACATTTTAAACTTGTGGTTTGCCTCCTGTTACTTTGTTGCTCTGTCAGACACTGGCTCCAGCACAGACATCTTTTGCCACATGATGCCCTTCTACAGCTACGACGTGCCTCACACCTGCGGTCCTGATCCGAAGATCTGTTGCCAGTTTGACTTCAAGAGATTACCGGGAGGTCGGATCAACTGCCCTTGGAAAGTGCCGCCCAAATCCGTGGTGGAGGCCAATGTTGCAGAAAGGTGAGGATTTGCTTTGTTTATCTTGTAAACGCCGTCATAAATTGCTGAGGGGTGTGTAGGACCGTGCAGTGACTGCCACTGAGGCTTTTTAGAGAGCTGTAAATAAGCATTGGATGGTAAAATTGTTTACTGCAATCCAGGATTGGTTGGGGTGTCTCCTCTTTATTTGAATACATTTTATATTTTCTGCATGGTTTTTAGTATTCACCTCCAGCAAGACCCACAGCAGATTTGTCAGTGTAATGTTTTCTGTAATGGTCCCTTAATAAACTCTACTTGAACTCGTGCCAGTGACGACAGCCAGGGGGAAGGAATAAACTGCAGGAGGTGGACACTGAGCGCTTATCGGTCTGGAGCCATATTATCCAGCTTTCAGAGGATGCGCTTGTTCAGTACATGAAAACTCCGTTTTTATTTTCCTCTCTCATCACGCTCCTCTTTTCTCGTTCACAGAGCACAGTTGCTTCTGGATCAGTACCGTAAAAAGTCTAAACTCTACCGCAGCAAGGTGCTTCTGGTTCCATTAGGAGACGACTTTCGCTACGATAAGGCTCTGGAGTGGGATCAGCAGTACATCAATTACCAGAAGCTGTTTGATTACATGAACTCGCACCCTGAGCTGCACGTTCAGGTGAGGGAAGGGTTTATCAGGTGTCGCAAATTACCTCACCGAAGGTGGGCTTTCTTTTCTTTTTCTTTTTTTTTTTTTTACCTTTATGCATCTCGGCATGAAGTGTATTTCAGTGGAAGACTAAATTATACAGCTGTACATTAACTCGCTGCCTGAACAAAGAAGCTGTCAAGACTTGGTTCTTGCCTTAGATAAAAACCCCCACATATTATAATAATGAAAGACTTCTTTTGTGTAGCTTTCTTAGAATAGGACTTTATTCTTGTTGTGCCATCTCCCTCCTCCAGGCTCAGTTTGGGACCCTCACAGACTACTTCAGTGCTCTGTACAAAGCCTACGGAGTGCCTCAGGGATCCAGACCTGGTGACTTTCCTGTCCTCAGTGGGGATTTCTTTGCCTACGCAGACCGCGAGGACCACTACTGGACGGGCTATTACACCTCCAGACCCTTTTACAAAAGCTTGGACCGTGTGATTGAGTCACATCTGAGGTGAGGGAGATTTTATGTTTAGTAACGGCTGTGTTAATTAACAACAATTGCAAGGTTCTGATGAGGTTGGGGGAAAAAGTGACGCAGTGTTATGTTAGGTATTTTCCAGATGGATGTTAAATATACATTTTCCCCCAGACTTTATCCCTTATCCCTTTGTCTCAATAAAGGTTGTAGCTGTCCCTCCGTTTAACCAGCCATCCATCCTTCCATATCCATGTCTGCTCATCTTTCTGTTTATCATCCATTTGTCTATTATCTCTTTCTGTCTCGTTTGTTCATTCCTTCCATTCATCCCTTTTTTTAAATGTCCATTCATCTGGCAATCAGTCCATCATCCATCCATTTCATCTTTTCATCCCTCTGTTCGTCCATCCATTACCCTCTCTCTGACCACTGTGGAAAAATCTTGGTTCATAACATTTTTGCATTTGAACTTAAACAAAAGCAAGACTGAAAAAAACTGTAAATGTGTGTAATATTGCTATGAAAAAAGTTTATAAACTGTATAACTGGTCTTTAACTTGCTGCTTTTAGTTTAGACTATATTTCTTTCATCAAACAGTCGCTAAAAATATTCCACTAAACTGTAAGTGGTGTTGGCATGACCCACTTATGTCAACATGACTGAAGCTCAACAAAGATCAAGTCTCCCCTTTTTTTTTTGGTTTTTTTTTTTTTTTTTTTTTTTTAGAGGGGCAGAGATTCTCTACAGCCTGGCAGTAGCAAACGCTCGGCATGCTGGGATGGAGGGTCGCTACCCAGTGACTGACTACGCCCTGCTGGTAGATGCAAGGCGGTCAGTCGGCCTCTTCCAGCATCACGATGCGATCACTGGCACCGCTAAGGAGAATGTTGTCATTGACTACGGTACCAAGTAAGATCATAAGGATTAGAGGAAGATATATTTTCTCCTGGTTAGTATGAAAACGTGCCATTTTATTTAATTATTCTCCCTAGATTACTTCGTGCACTCATTGGACTGAAGAGAGTTATTATCAACGCTGCTCATTTCCTGGTGATGAAGAACAAAGAGTTTTATCGTTTTTACCAGACAGAGCCCTTCCTAGAGACGGTGAGAGGAAACGTGGACTGACATATCGTATCAAAACCCTGCATACACTTAGTATTCTGAATGCCTTATATTTCACTTCTTTAGGACGACAGACGTGCGACTCAGGACTCTCTGCCTCAGCGCACTTTAATTGAGCTGGACCCAGCTGGACCAAGGTGAAACGTTCATCCCTCACTTTTTTTTTTTTTTTTGTTTTGTTCCTGCTGTCCTTCACGTTTGCTCATGTTTTTATTTCTCTCTACCAGATACCTGGTTCTGTTCAACCCCATTGAGCAGGAGCGTCTCTGCGCCGTCACCGTGTTGGTGAACACGGTCAGGGTGCGGGTGCTTACTGAAGACGGACAGACTCTCCCTGTGCAGCTGAGCGCTCAGTGGAGCTCTGCTACTCAAATGAGTGCCGAGGTATTCGAGGTGAGATGAATAATTGATTGACTGGTCTGAAAAGTGAAGGAAAAAAACTTTAAAGGCAGAAAGTTTATGGGAATTAATCCATATTTACAATAAAATATTGAACATGAAGTTATCATTTTCACATTTTCTTGTGCTGCTGACCATAACTTTTGAGAACAGATGGCTCTTTGACCTTGTCTGTTTTGATCTTCTCCCAGTTTTTGTGAAGGTTCTTAGAGCGTGGTGACAGTTGAACCAAACAAGACATGTTATTTATCCCTGCAAACTGATGCCTTGTGATCTCCACTTTAGTTAATTGATATTTTGAACGAGCCGTGCTCAGCTGACCTCTTACCATCGTTGCTGGAGAACGGGAGTGAAACGACTTTCAGAACAAGATTTATTAACGTCACCTGGGAATATAAAAAGATTGACTTTGAGTTGTGAGTGTAGCAAAAAGCAACATATCAACCTACTTAAACTCTGAGAGTGTCTGGTTAAATAAACTGGAGGAAGATAAGAGACTGTCATTATGATGCTGATTGTCAGTGTGTGTATTTTTTTTATTTTTTTATGAATTGGACTGTTCAAAAATTAACCTCCAGATCTTTTGATTGGCTGAGCCTGGCTGGTTTAGCTCCAGGTACTTTTAATTTGACCAACAAATGGTTCCAGTAGAAGTTCTAGTAAAGTTTAAACAAACTAGATGTTTGTAAAGGTAGGACTGAAAAAAATGAGAGAAAACATGATTTCATTGCATTTATTTAAGGTTCTCAATTCTGCTTCAGTTTAGTTTCCAGTATGGGTTTTTTTTTTCAGTTTAAAAAAAAAAGCCTCTGCTTTAGTGTAAAGCCCAAACTGAGCACTTTCTAGATTGATTTATGTGCATGTCATAATGCACTAAATCTATTTTTACAACCAGAATAAAGGTTTCAGATCATACGCTGCGCTTTGGAAAAATCTAACCATGAATAGGTTGATAAAACCAAAGCAGCACAAAAGTTCCTGCCGACCAAGCTGCCTAATCAGAAGCCGACTTAAATATTTGATGCAGATAATAAACCATGACAGTAGTACATTAGCTTTGGTCGCCAGGTTCACACACGTGAACGTTTCTTTTTTTTTTTAGTGAACCTCAGGTGTGAAAATCCCCATAGTTGGCGCCTCGTGGTTGATACTTGACATCCAGATTAATAAAGACAAATGAAGCTAGGAATGTTTGTCTTACTCCATTATGGTTGGATATTAAAACTTTTTACTTGTCTTCAATCTGTCCAGGCAACATTCATGGTCCGCCTGCCTCCCCTCGGCCTGGCTGTTTTTCATCTTTACGACTCGGCCGATTCACCCATGACGATTCGCTCAGACACTCTGCTCAGGCTGTCGGGGCGCAGCGGCTCTGCTCGGGCTCTGGACCCCCTTCCTGTCCGCTCTCAGCCGGCTGACGCTCAGACCTTTTACATCAGCACGCAGACGCTGACTCTGGGTTTCTCTGGAACCACCGGCCTGCTGGAGGTTTGTGTTTCTCCCGATTTTGTTGACTTCAAGTCTGTTAGCTCCATGTAAATTACTACCTTTTTTTATTTTTTATTTGTACCAATTTTTATATATATATATATATATATATATATATACACACGCACTTTGATTGCTGTGATGCTGTTAATATTCAGCTTTTTACCAAAGGGATTCAAAGGTGATGCTGCTGCTTGAACTAGGTGAAGTGACAAGATTTGCTGAATTTTTATTCTTATTTTTTTGCAAGCATTTCGATGCCGTATAACGGTTTAAAAGTCTGTTTACTCATTTTTAATTAGTTAGCTTCAATGCTCAGTTGCATGGAAAAAGCATCAGCTGGCAAATAAAAGTACACTGACACATAAAATGTTTTTAAGATTTAGGTGTGCCCACCTTAACAGTCACTTACAGATATATGTACAGGATGTTTTGACCATTTACATTTTTTGTTAGCAATTCTGTTAATAAAGGGGGGGGGAAAGTGAAATAATTTGTAATGAAACATTTTTAAAGAAGCTCAAAGTCAAGGTGTGTACAGCATAGCAGCTTATAGACAAGGTTGACCTCTCTATGTATTTTTTATTTTCAAAGGTATAACATATATACATGAGACACTGGTCTTGTTGCTCGTGAATCAATCTATTATCTACTTCTTTAATTTTTTGCTTTGCCTCAGCTTGTGTCATTTTTTTTTATCTGCAGAGTATCAAGCGTAAGGATGATCCACAAGAGGTTAAGGTTCAAATGCAGTTCATGATCTACGGCACACGTCCTTCGAAAGACAAAAGTGGCGCTTACCTCTTCCTGCCAGATGGAAAGCCAAAGGTATCCTCGTGGTTGTATCTCACGTGTTAACTTGCCTCTCCAAAGGCTTTGATGGAGTCTCCCATGGATATCATCTCATTTTATCCTGCTGGGTAGCTCAGGACAGGCATGCAGGCAGACTGGATTCAAGAAACAAACCGTACAGGCTGAGCTCTGCACTGCTTGATTGCCTGTCGTGTCTCATTTTTAGCACATCTTGTCTGACTGCTCTTTGTTTCCAGCCCTACAACCAGAAAGAACCTCCTGCGGTGCGTGTTGTCGAAGGGCCTCTTTTCTCTGAAGTGGTGGCACAATACCAGCACTTTCAGCAGACTGTTCGCATACACAACGTGCCAGGTAATAAACACAGAGATCGACTTGATAGATACAGCTCAGATTATTCTATTCAATTTTTTTTTTTTTGGCTCATTTTGCACCATCTGGTGCAGATTGAGCCAGAATGTGGAGTAAAATACCAGTTTTATTGTCTTCTGCCAGCTAACTGTTGGCAGTATTTTTTTTTTTTTTTATAATTTAAGAAGTTTTTATGAGTACATATCAGCAAGTTAGAATAAAAAAAAAACTTTTAAAAATTCAGTTCAAAAGTGAAACTTTTATATAAAAGTATTGGATGATGATGCTTAACAACTAATAAAAAAAACACTTACATTTCTCATAATTGGATTACAACAGAAAACCCATTAAAATGTTTAGCAGTGCAGGTTATACACACCAAACTTTCCCTGTGCTTGTAATTAATCTGAGATTGACTTTTTTTATTAAATTGCTGACATTTACTTTTCGATTTTTTTTTATTGACTGGTGTAAGAGGAAATCCAGATCCCGTGTGTGTGTTTTACTCCTGGTACTAGTTTAGTTCTACGTTGTGATGCTGTTTTGCAGGGGTGGATGGTTTGTCTGTAGACGTCACTATATTAGTGGACATCCGGGATCAGACCAATAAGGAGCTGTCCATGCGGCTGGTCACCAACATCCAAAATGGAGACGTCTTCTACACAGACCTCAACGGTTACCAGGTCAGTTGCATTCTGCGGTTAGAAACGGAAATATAAAACAGAGCGACTTACTTGACAGAACTTAGGAGTGCAACATGCTCTGATTTATTAAAAAAAAAAATATATATATTTTTTTGTAGATCCAGCCCCGTCGATTCTACCAAAAGCTTCCTTTGCAAGGCAACTTTTACCCAATGTCCAGCCAGGCGTACATCCAGGACAGCCACCACCGCCTCACGCTGCACACGGCTCAGGCTTTGGGCGTCTCCAGTCTGGACAGCGGTCTGCGTCTCATTTTTAGACATTTACTGTTTCTCATTTCGTGTTTAAATGAAAGTCCCAAAAGTATTTGCCTGTTTAAATCTCTCAGCTTTCCTTCTTATCTCCCTCCCGAGAGTTGCTCAAAGAGAAAAGCAACTCGTACTCTGATATTGTAAACTGAGCACTTTGTAAATGATGGACCACTCAGATAGTTTGCACTTATCGTCTGAAGCCTCTTTGTTCATTATATGGACTTGGCTGTAAAGCTGTTGCCTCCGTTTGCTCTCTCCTCAGGTCAGCTGGAAGTGATTATGGACCGGCGGCTGATGCAGGATGATAATCGAGGGCTGGGTCAGGGTCTCAAAGACAACAAGAAGACAGCGAATCGTTTCCGCTTGCTACTGGAGAGAAGATCAATTGATAACAAGGTCAGTATCACAATTTTTCTTTTTTTTGCTACAGAAATTCTGTTAAAATTCCTTTTAATCACATCAGTATCGGGGTTGAATGACTTTCTTCAAGGTTGTTTAATTCACTGCAGATTTCCTCTGCGTTCTTTTACCGATGAAACCTTTCTCCATTCTTTTAGTCCCACCCCCCACTACTCATTACCTCTCCATCTGTCTTTTTTTTTTTTTTTTTTGCCCTCCTTTTCCCTTCCTAATTTTGTTTTCCCTCTCTGCTTTTTTTCCACTCAATTACCCTCAGCGTGATGGCTTCCTTGCCAAACTCTCGTCTTTGTTGCGCTATTTCTTCTCTCAAATCCCGAGCGGCGGAGTTCGCGAGGTAACGTTGCCGAGGCAACAGCGAGGATGTTTTTAAACGTGGATCATAGCCGTAGTCGTAGCTCCAGCTGAATCCCTTTTGCCTCCTTCCACTTCGTAGCTGTAGTTAAACTTCAGTATGACAGAGCGGGTGAGAGAAAGCAATGAGGTGATTTGTGATGTAAATGTATTCAAATTAGCAGAGGACGGAGGACTTCGGTTGTAGTTCCGTCATCCCGCTGCTGATGTCGCAGTACATCACATCCTGAAACACCTCGGTACTCTTTTAATTCCACATTTGACATCACGAAGGTGTGATTTGTGCTGCGTGCGTCAGGACTAGAATTGGAGCCGTTCCTCCTCCTCTGACAGTGATTAGAGCTTGTTCCTCATGTAATGGCACAGAGGAATCTCTAGAGGCGAGTCATCAGCGTCGTAATGATCACGCCGTCATGTAAATCTCCCCCGCGTCCTCTAGATGATGGACAGCGCAACAACGAGCTTCCCGTCTATGGTCAGCCACGCCACCAGCTCCCTGCTCAACCACGAGGTCCTGGCGTTGCCTGTCCTGCCGAAAAGACGCGGCATCCCTCCTCTTCAGACGTTCGCCCCGCTCAAGTCCGTCATTCCCTGCGATGTCCACCTGCTCAACCTGCGGAGCATCCAGACGCAGGTCAGGTGGAAGAGCTGGTCGAATCTTTTGGCTTTAAATGTTCTGTGCAGTTTTAGTTTTTTAAAAAAAAAAAAAGTTTCTGTGTTTATGTGAGCAGAAGGATCCCGAGTCTCCATCTCCCTACACCGCCTTGCTCTTACACCGCCTGGCTACGGACTGCGGATTTGAGGGTCAAAACCTCGGCTTCAACTGCAGCACGACGCAGGGACGGGTAACTGTTTCAATACGAACTTGTTAAACCTCAACTAAAGTGTTGGAATGGACTCGTCTGGTAATTTTTTTTTTTTTTTTTTTGTCCCACACCAAGGAAACAATTCAAAGGTCTATTTATCTAAGCTGTTTAAGGTCCAGCTTTTAAGATGAGTTTTCATTTAATATGTCACTAAAAGCTCCTTGCTTGCTGCAAAATGGAGTCGTTTCTCTACAACTTGCTGATGGGACATTTAACCAAATATCAGTAGGGGCGTGTGTATCTATTTGAGCCGATAAATATATGTACTGCTTGAATTTAAGAAAACTTGCAACATATTCAGACTTGTGCTTCTAGATCTTGTTTTTAAAAATTTGATCAATAACTTCTCTCACTTTAGATGGGGACTGGATTTCAGATTATAGTCCATTTGTTTGATTACATACTGTTATTACATGTTTTCATCAATATTTATTTTGTTTCCCCCTTCCAAAAAAATGTTGGCGCTCTTGCGGGTTAGCGGACCTCCCAGCGTTTTAATGGCATTTGTCAACCCACATATTTCTATTTTTATGACCTAAATGTGTGAAGACTTTTACTGAAGTGCTTGTAAACCTGCTTCTACTCTGACACATCGCTTTGGGTTTTATCGCGTCAAACAATTTGGTTTCTGCTTCAAACACGCAAGCAGAGAGGGGGCAGAGTTTGGATTCAGATTTTTCTGCTGATACTGTAATCAACTATCTGCCATGAGCTAATTTAACCAACAAGAAGGGGATGTTGCCTCTTCCACACACAGTTTCTGTCCTGATTGTTCTGCTTTTCGTTCTCCTTGCAGCTCAGTGTGTCGAATCTTTTCAAGAACGTGGACCTGCAGCTGCTGCAGCCCATGTCCCTGACCCTGATGCATTCCAGCATGCCTTTGGCCAACGACTCCATCATCAGTCTGGAGCCCATGGAGATCTCTGCCTTCAAGCTCAAGCTGCGCTAAGAGCCGTAAACGCACATCGGACTAGCGACATCAAGAACCAGGGTCAGGGTTTCCCTGCATTGTTGAGCTGAACTCGGAGAAACAGGGTCCGCTGCAGTGGCGCTGACTGAACTGCAGGGGGCAGACATCAGCAGCTGCTGCTGTAGCTCTGAGGAGACGCAGCAGAACTTGAGGTGAATTTGAAGTCGTTCCATATCTGGGGAAGACTGCGAGTATTTCTCATCAGTCAAAGCTGAGTCTGCAATCGGATATGAAAACACTTTATTTTCTGCTTTGTAAGTTTTGTTTGTTTTTGTTTTTTTTCTATCTTCTCGTGGACTCTACTACTGAATGTAAATATCCCAAATGACTGGAGGGGGCCGGGAATGGTGATGCATTGGAGTGCAATTTTCAGAGCTTTATTTGGTGTCTGGGTTTATGATTTTCTTTTTTCTTCTTTTTTTCTCAAATCTGGGAGAAAATCGATCACCAACATATCTTTTGTACCAATATAGTTTCTTTTTTGCAGGAAACAGAATGTGTGGTCCTTGTTGTAAGGGCCTGAGCTGCGAATCCTAAGCTGTGTTTCCATGAGTGCCCACCGTTCTCATCAATCGCAGAGGACGACTCCTCCCCTCCACTCCTCACTTTGTGCTTGTAGATAGTCCGCAGATTCCCTCTCCCACTTCGCAGTGTGCAGGGTTCTTGCTCGTGTCTATCATTCTCCCGCTTGTAGCAAACCATATGCAGTAGATTAGGCAAAAAGACTATACCTCATGTATACCAAACGGCAGATATATTGGTATTTATGTCTGAGCATATTAATGTGAATACTTGAGGTTGATTGTTTTTTTTTGAGGTTGGGGGTGTACTCTATCAGGGACCAGTCAATACTTTGGGTGTCATTTATTAATATCAATTTGCATCAGAGGGCCATATTGCAAAAATTACGTATGCATCCCTTCATTCCAGAAATGAAGGATCTAGCTTTTGAAAATAACACACACACACACACACACAAAAAAACCCTCCTGCTTCTTTGTCCTCCTTTTTGGATCATATAGTAAGAAAAACAGGAACAACCCTTCAGACTGTTGGGGCTTTGACTGTGACTGCGATCAGATGCCGCTTTGTTTGGACAAATATCACCAGTTTATACGGGGAAGCACTCTTTCCAAAACTCAAAACAGATTCTATATCTGAGCTGGATGCTTTTTTATTTTTATTTTTGATGCTTAAGACATTAAAATAAATCAAATTCCAATCTTACCACAAATGTGTAATTTTCTGCCTGATGAGTCGCAGCTCATATGCCCCAATGTGACCATAAAACCGTGGCTACACTTCTTTATGTAACATGCATATTTCATCGTTTCGTTCGTTCGTTCTTTTTTTTTTTTTTTATAAACGAATCGGATTTCTTGCCTGAGAAGATCACAATGTGTCAGTATGTCATAAGGATATTGAACACAGTAAAAGTCTGTATGAAAACGTTGTTTTTCCTTCATGTTTTAAACCACTGCTCTTCATCTGCTACACAACGGATCAAAATAGTTCTTTACTGCTTAATGCAAAGTTTCTGCTGGGTTGTCTGGGTTTCTATTTTTTTATTTTTCTCTTTGCTCTAAAACTCTTTAAGAAGCCCACATTTTCTGAAATTGCCTTTTTAATTGGTTTAAAAAAAATCTGTATTTGTATAACTTTATGTTAAACCCTGGAAAATAAAAAAAAAAAAAAAAAGGCCTTGCCTGATTTTTCTTCAGGCGATGACAGAAGAAAAATCTGTCGTTTAGCTTCATAGCCAGTCACAGTAGGCTATGAAGCTTACTGCGACTGAAGGTGTTGAAATCAGGTAACCTATAAATGGAAAAGCACTGAGCTTAAAAAAAAAAACAGGCAAATTAAATACCTGCACCCACTAGGTTAGGGAGGGTGTATATAATCTATTTGGTTTGCAAAGTGTTAAACTGAGTGTTGCAGTTTAAGTCTAAAATAATATTTATAATGGTGCTTTAAAAAAAAAAAAAATTACTGAAACCCATATATATATATATATATATATATTTTTTTTTTTTTAACTGACCTTGATAAGTAGGGTGAAGCCTCATTCAGGGATCCTTGACTTGGGGAGGAATATGATTTTCTTTAAGCAGTCTTAGCAGCAGCCTCAGCTCTGCGGTGTTCTTTACCCCCAGGCTGACTGCAGGCGCTCCGTCTGTCTGCCATTTACAGCTGCTCAGGAGGATCCTGTCATCTCGGTCTAAGGCTGAGGCCGTCATCTCTGTCGCTCTCTGAACTGTGCCGCCGTGTCACCTTGCTTCGCCTCGTCATTTCCCCACAGTGGATCTGCAGCTTTAGCCCCCCTGACCTTAAGCTGTCTGGCCTGCGAGAGGTCAAAGATGTGGCTGCTCACCTATTTCCCTCTGCTGCTGTGAACATCTGTCAAACCAGATGTTGCCACACCTTCAATTGCGTGTTTTTTCTTCTTTTTTTTTTTTTTTCCTGCTGACTTATTTTCAAATATATCTGTTGCAGGGCTCCTTTTTTGTTCAAGGAGAAATACGAGAAGGCGGACAGATTTCCATTTGATTCAAAATATAATTTTGAATCAAGGCTGAAGAGTTTCGACAAAAACTGAAGATTGACGTTTTTCCCCAAAGATGTTCTAAAAGCACTTTAGCGGTTTAGTTTCCATCCTGCTTTATACTGGTGTGTTCATACTGATGAATAGTTGGGTGGCTGAGCCTGCAGAGCAGCCAGAGTAAATACAAAGTGTTTGATTCTGATGAAGAAACGGTGGGTTTCTTCTGCAAAATGTTAGTTTGCTTTTTATCTGAATCGTCAGATGGAAGCTGTCGATTCACTGAACTCCATCTCTTATTTCCGTCTTTGAGAGCTAGCTACATGCTAAAGATGGTGGCAATACAAAGCCTATTCCTACCAAAGGGGCCTTGTCCAGTTATAAAGTACACACACTGCCCACCTCATGGACATACGTCTTAGGCTGTTTCTTTATATAAATATTTTATTGTTCAGTTATAAAGGTAATAAGAAACTCAATTTTGAACGTGCATTGCCTGCAAGCTATTATCAAAAATACACTTTCTGAACCGAGTTCCTTTAACAGTTGTAGTTTTCTGTGATTGTAACCTATTGAAATACAGCTGCATTTATAATTAAGTTTTGATCACTAGGGGGCAACATTAAGGCAGGTTGAGAAGTTCAGTGCATTTCTTAGAGATACTATCACAACTCAAGTGTCCAGCGGCTTCAGCTTTCATTACTTGAACTGTCTACCTGCAGGGAACTGAGCGTTCAGGTTCCACGTCCCACGTCCTGCCTAGTTTAACACTCTTTTGAGTGGAACTGTTGGACGAATCGGTTACAGAAATGAAAGCACAGCATAAAACGAGATGTCAGTTCATGCTTTGTAAAAGTGGGCGAGATCGACGGGCAGGAGAAAAGGGTGAGTCAGCGGGGATTTGGAGCTGGTGGTGCCTGAAGAAACGTTCTGCAGACGGTGACGGCGCCGTTTCCTCGACTGCATCGGGTTCAGCACGAGCAGACGACGCGTAATGACCCTGAAACGACGCGCGATTGAACTTAATGTGAAGTCAACTAACGGGCTTCTGATTTGTTCTCACTGTACTAATTAACGTACGACTTTATTGTTGCCAAACCATATTTTACAGTACATTATTGTTGATCATTGCAGTCTCACTCGCTGCACAGCCTGCAGACGCTGTTAATGATTGTGGCAATGAGGAGGCGAGGTGCCTCCAAACACAGAATTTAAAACGCGAAGCTGGGGCCCTTTGTGAAATGTGCGGAGAGTTTTCCCAGCAGATCTAATTACAAAGGAGAGAATAAATACACTTTTTACCTCTGCATTCAGTGAGCTGCACCTTTTCAGATGAGGAAGCTGCAGCTAACAAATAAAGGTGCTTTTTTTTTTTTCCTGCAGGCACAAAGACCTGAAGTTTATTCTAAAATAACTTGCCGCGTGGTGCCACATGGTCATCCGTTTATGAATTAGTTTATTTTTACCTGCAATATTTTAATAAAACATACTTGACATTTTTGTGGGAAAAAGTTCTGTATATCAGTCCAATTTCAAAATAATGAAATAAAAAAAAAAGCCTAATTGTAACAGAATATTTTAATGGAACATGTTTAATTTAGGAAATTTCCATTTTATCATTAGCAGGGATTTGGGGGTACTTCAAGAAGCATTCTGCAGACACTCGCAGCACTATTATTAATTTCATTAGTCATTAAGATTTTTGCTTAAAAAAAGTTATCCACCTTCATCAACTGCTTGGGCCGGGAAGCCAAAATTGTACCATCCCCAAAATACAAAAGTAGCCCAGTTGCCACATGAGGGCAAGAAGACTCACAATCAGCTGCTGATTTTTAGCTTCCACCACTTTGAGGATATGCTTCCCTTTCCTCTTGGTAGTTTGGCATCTAAGAGAACTATTAATAAAATCCAAACAGTTTTAAAAACTCATTTAAAAAACAACAACCTTGAACTATCCCTTTAATCTTATTCTGGAAACAAGATGCTGCTTGTCCTTTGGTGTGTTTAAGGAACTTACAGGTGACTGTAGAGCTTCCTTGGATTGATTGATGATTATTTTCCTATTCTTTAATCCATTTCAATGGTAGTGTTTCATTTTCTTCAACATATTTCAGGTTTCATTTTAATGCTCTGTATGGTATAGATTATTTGTTTTAAGCTTACCCCATACAGTCAACTTGCAATTCTGATGAACATCAATTTGAGAAAAAGCCAGCTTTAAAATAATGACACAAAACCGGCAACTTGCATGTGTCAGGTGTTATTTGGTCTGCTGATTTTCCATTCCTCTACAAAACCTACTTTTAAATTAACTACCGTGTAGAGATATAATTTATACCAGAAGAGATAATCGATCTGGTCAGTGTTGTTGAAACGCTGTTATTTGAACACAACTGAAGATATTGAGTTAATTTAAACCAAGAAATTCCTCGCTGTTTGGAGCTGAAGAGAGCGGCTTCTCGAAGGCGTTCTGGCAGCGCGGCTCACTGCAGCTGCATACATGCCACAGACAGAATGCTGGCACCCTGATAAAGCCTGACGCTCCGAGTGAAGGAAACACATTTGCAACAGTGGCGTACGGCAATAAAGAAGTGATGAACCATCTGCTCTCTTGTGTGGCGTTTGGCGCATCCAGGGCAGAATTTCAGCCGCCCGAAACCCTTCAAGTTTTAAAAGCTGGCAGTGAAAACAAACTCAGTCACATTTACGCAACAGCCAAAATCTTTTTAATCCAGCATGGAACTCGTCTCCACAACTTTAAACAACCATTATTAGTTAAATAAAAAAAAGGGCTATAAAACACACATAGAAAAAGCAATACAAGATATCTCCTTTTTCAGCTACTGCAATTATTCCAGCCTTTAGATCCAAAGGCTTTGATTCAGCCTGTGTAGAGCCAAGTCTACACAAATGGGAAATAAAGCATGTGGATGCCTATTTAATGTATGGAGCTGACAATAGAAAGGGAGGGAACTTCACCTTGATGAAAATGTTCTGGCAGAGCAAAATCAATATACTGCGTGCTCTGTGGGGAAAATGAGAAGAAAATGATCATATTTCTTACCAGCAGCAACCGATTGGGACGGAGCGGCGAAAGGTCGGCCAAGCAGCTTTAGGCTAACTGATTTCATAAAGTCATTAAAGAGAGAGAGAGAGAGAAAAAAAAACAGTGAATATGTACGAGTCAGTAAGTTTTTCTGAGTGATAGATCAGATATGTGTTCCTACTGTGGCTCGACCGAGAATGGAACATCCTCCACATTTTTCTGCTCAAACAGCCTGAGGGATGTTTTATCACGGCATCCCACTGTGCCCAAGAAATCTTCAAATTAAAGTTTTGCAACTATTAATGAACAGCAAGCAAACCTCCCAACTCCCCGCTCTCCAATCTGCCAGGAAGTAAATATATATACAAAACGGAAATTTATCAAAGCTCGGCTTGGATTTTGGATTTTGTGATCCATCAGATGTGTGCTTGAGATATATATATATATATATATATATATATATATATATATATATATATATAATTATTATTTTTTTTCTTATCAGCAAGTTATGATGATTTCTCACAGATCCCAGCCTGCTGTTACTACGTGTGGCTCTAGAGTAGTTATGTAAGGATGGTATGCAGGACATTACAACCCAAATTATGTGCTTTTACGTAGGAAGACATTTAGCATGGAGAGAGCTGAAGTAATGTAAGCTGTACTTACATTACTTCATGAAGTACAGCTTTGCATTATGGGAATTATAGGAGATAAAGAATGTCGGGTTATAGTTGACATTTTGCCTTCTTGATAGCAAACTGCACTGAATTTGATCCCTGGAGTCTCTTGGAACCACTGCTATTGCCCCCAGATGTGGGTCCTCCATGGATGAAGTGGTTAAACTAAGAATGGTAACATTTGCATAACACCTCATACAATGCATTGCAAAAGTATTCAGACCCCTTAAACTTTTCCCTCTTTTGTCTCGTACTTTAATAAATTTTTAATGGGATTTTATATGATAGACCAACAGAGAACTGTGGACGACTATGAAATGGACGATAAATTGTAGATGGCTTAACTGTTTTTTCTTACAAATAAAATGTTAAGCATGCAGCGTGGTGCCCATTAGTAGTTAGGCCACCGTTTATAGTGCAAACCACTGGCTTTAAAAGTTACATTATTAGTAAATCTGTTGACAGGTCAATTGTTAGTTATGCCCTTAGAAAATCTGGGCCTAACAGAGGAGATTTGATGAGAAAGATGTTGTAGAGAGAAGGCCATTAAAAGTCCAACTTAAAGCTTGCAAAATGCTGTGTAGAGGGAAGACAAAAAGCATGTACTCCCAAAACTACTTTGTGAAACCACAAAGGTCAGATGAGGCAACAATGTAAGTTTCTGACATACAAGAAAAATACTTTGTGTGATAAACAGAAACAAAAACTGATCCTCTCCATGACATTACGGTGGTATTATCATGCAGAGGGGATCCTTTACATCATAAGGGGACAAGGAAGCTGATCAGTGTTGATGTGGACACAAAATGGGGCCCAATAAAGGTTGATCTTTGAACGATGACACACCCCATAAACCTGAGCTGTAATTTCAGCAGAAGTCGGTTTCACAAAGTAGTTTGGGAGCTGAGTGCAGGTGTCCTTCATACCTTTCAGGTGTTTTATTTGTAAAATATAAATATGCACACTCTTAGCTTCATGTCACAAATATATGGCGCCTTGTGGTCTATCACATAAACATCCCAGTGAAATACACTGAAGTTGGTGTTTTTACCAGACAACATGGACATTTTTTTTTATTTTATTTTACTTTTGCAACACACTGTATTGGTGACAGAGTTAAGGACATAATGGATAAAACAGATAACATAAGCGATCAGTGAAATCAGTTGTATTATTAAAAGGCAAATAAATAGGTAATGCATTAGGATGTAGTGCTGATGGGACGGTAAGGCCTGTGTTTCTCCTTCATGTTATCACCTCTGGCACAGTCAGATCTCACACCCTCCGCGCCGCGGTGTGAGAAACCGCGGCGCCTGAAGCCGCTCCAGCTACAGCAAGCTCTGCGTCTTGATAAAAGCTGTCCTCTCGCTCTGGCCGTCCACTTCCTCGCTGTCTGATTCAGACTCACAGGCGACGGTGTCCTCGTCCGCCCACACAGTGGGGATCCCCTTGTAGCATATCCGAGCCTTCCTCTCCCGCCCCCGCTGGAAGCCCAAGCCGAGGCCCAGCCGTGTCCTCCTGGTGTCTGAAAACACAGAGGACAGTTTGGTCCTCCAGGTCAGAGCGGCGTCTCCAGAGCGCACCTGAAGCAAGAAGAAGACCCCGACGAAGGCAGCCAGGATCAAGGCACAGCTGAGAACCGCCACGACAACAGGAAGCTGAGAGGGCGGAGCAGCGCTGAGTCCTGGCGGCTCTTCAGCTCCTCCGCCGTTCACGTTTGCTCCCGCCGCCGCCGCCGCTGGTGTCTTCACCTCCGGCTCATCTTCTTCACCCTGCAGTCCTCCGGTAAGGGGGGATTTCCTCTGGACCTGGTTCTGGTGCAGGCAGGAGGTGAAGACTAAGTGGCTGTGTGTTGGACAGGACAGGCAGTCTGTAGGTCCGGCGCCTGAGCAGGTGAGGCAGGACGGGTGGCAAGACAGGCAGGCCTGAACAGAGGACAAGTCCACCCAGTTCTCCAGAGAGAGGTTGAGCAGCTGTGGGCCCGATGTGAAGCCAGGGGGGCAAAACTTCACACAGCCCTGGAGGAAAAGGGAGAAACCCGGGCTGCACTCTAGAAGAGGACAAAAACAAAAAAGATCAGGGAATAATAATAATAATAATTAAAAAAAAACAACTTAGAAAACAACACAGTGAAAAGTACACAGCAACATCACTGTAGCGCTTTTAGGTAATGTGAACATTAACCTAGAAAGCTGTCTCAAAGGACCAGAGACTCTGTCAAAACAAACTCTGCTGCGGTCGTCGGCCCAGCATCTCCATATATGATCTTGCCAGGATGTGTTCGTCTAGAAGCTATTCCACACATGCAGCCATCTGATTGGTTAATCGTCTCCCAACAAAACACACCAACCCCGCAGGTGAACTCAGGACACCAATAACCAGGAGGCTTTCTTCTGGACTCAAAGGAACTGATCGCCCATTCCCACATTGGCTGCATTAAATGTTTGTTTTTTTGTTGTTGTTGTCCACATCATACCTTTTTTTTTTTTTTTTTTTTTTTTTTTTGGTTTTTTGGGAAAATGGGGAAAAATAAAAAAATTTCCCC